CTGAAATAGAAATAAAAGAGACCTGTAAAACTGACTCATCTGTTTCCTATTTAGATGATCTATACATAAAGATTCAGAATGGCAAAAACTATCCCCAAGACAGTATGACAAGAGGGATGACTTCCACGTTCCCTTGATGTCAGCAATATTCGAGCAGCTCCAGTATTTGGCGTCTACATTTCACAACCTCGGAGGTACAATCGAACATGCTCTTTCTACGAAGAGGGACACACGACGCTTGAAACATTAAAACATTCAAGGCCGCAGCAAAGATTTCACAAAGTTTAATGGTAGAGGACATTTCCAAATTTGACGCATCAGTGACAAAGATAATGTCAGATGCAATTTTTTTCAGGTGAAAACTTGATCTGCCTTTGTATACGTCTGTAACGGACCCGTGAAGATTCCGGGGTAGAATAGGTCTTCAGCAACCCATGCTTGCCGTAAAAGGTGACTATACTTGTCGTAAAAGGCGACTAACGGGATCGGGTGGTCAGGCTCGCTGACTTGCTTGATGCATGTCATCGATCCCAATTGCGTGGATCACTGGATTGTCTGGTCCAGACTCGATTATTTACAGACCGCCGTCATATAGCTGGAATATTGCTGAGTACGGCGTTAAACAATAAACCAAAACGTCTGTAACGGGTGCCACCGGTGATGCAGGATATGCTCACCTTTTCGCGAACACCTGGTGTCATCACTATTTGATAGTCATTCATGAACAAAGGCTTATACTAAAGTCGACCGCCGTCATATAGCTGGAATAAACAAACAGATATAATATCATGTGGTCGGAATCGTAAAATGGAGATTACTTTTAGAAGAGGTGTTTTATGATTAAGCGCTCCGCTGCATGATGTAAGTAAGATTTAGTTCAAAGTATCAAGTAAAAATGACAAAAGCCTGCCTTAACCATGTTCCATGCGCTCGGGTGACATCACACTTTTTACTGTCCAGCAACATCCGGCTTTCTCCCTGTGATCGTGCGAAGTGTGAATTTGGCGTGAATGGTAAGTGCGACTGGAACTCATAAAGTGAAACGTGGTTCAGTTTCTTCACAACGAAATTCCCTTTTTTGTAAACATCAGTGTTGTAACTACAACAACACCGTGATTGATTGACATCTCGTAAAACTAGGATCTATCTTAGTACAATAATCTTAGCCTTCTTTTGGTAATAAGCAGCGCCATCGATGGAATGGATCGGGCCGTCGATGGCTACATTATCGAGGGTAATAATAATTCTTCGGAATGGGCTTATCAGACCAAGTCAATGTTTTATTGATGTCATGCAAATGTGATCACAAATTCAAAAAGGCTGTTTTCCAGCATGATCATAATTTAGGCGCTCACCACCTAAAACAAAGTAGCGTACTAACTGGCAGCTGTTCCTGGGTTGTTCAGAGGAGGAATTTCGTTGATTCGGAGATCGCGTTTGTTATCAGAATCAATCTGACAATCGTATTGTTATCTGTTTTAAGTTGTTATATTTGTTTAATGCGGTTTGACGTAGGCTAAAAATCGACAGCCTAGTCTATTCGTGAAAAATAATGATCTTTTAAACAAAGTGTGACGTCGCAGATGTGTTTTAAAGTGCGTATTCTATATATGAGCCATTATACTTTAGGAAATACAAGTATTTATTGTATTCAGTCTGTTGTGCCGATAATGAAATTGAATCGATATATGAACAATGCAGAGGTGAGACGTCATAGAACTTCTACCCGTGATGATCCGCGTGGATCGATGCTCATGATGTCAATCACTGGATTGTCTGGTCCGTACTCGATTATTTACAAACCGCTGTCATATAGCTGGAATATTGCTGAGTGCAGCGTTAAACAACAAATAACAACATTAAACTTCAAATGACCAATCAACATGTTTGTGCAACTATCAGAAAGTTATTATACACGTTCGTTTAACCAATACGAACTTTATTGTCATCTTTCGATATTACGTCCCACGTGTATGAACTATTGCTGATTTCGGTCAGCCATTAGGGGCCGATCATTCGGGGCCTCTGGAACTTGGGCTCTGTATGTTGGGGGCTAGATATTATCTTCAGCTGCAGCTGCAAAACACTACATCGATATATGTTTAACTAAAACCACGTGCCTAAATATATTTTAGAAAACACATCTTCTAAACTATATGAAGCATAATTATTTGTTTCAAGCATTTCTGGGACAATTTATTGTATTCGATAACAGATAAAGAATATTTGATGTGATGTACTGTGATTTCGTTTAAACTTTGCTATGAAATGGTACATTATTATTCGTCAGAATAAATCTCCATGCCGCGGAGGTTATCCACATTTCCCGCCGTGGTGGAACTGAAACACAGGCAACGTGCGGGGGCACCGAGGATCTCCACTCCAGGCTATCTGAGATTAAACCCGATTATTTCAAATATTAGAATAAAAAATCGAATATTATGCCAATAATTGTTGCCATGGTTGATGCTTCAGTGAGCCATAAGATAAGGCTTGTAAACTATTTGTTAGTCAATAACTACTTAACAATTGATGACAGTGTACTCTCTCATACCCCGAAGTCCATTATCACCTATTCTTTCGTGCCCTCTCCACGATAAGAGTTGGCTTCCCAAGGCTTATCAACATGAAAATCTACTTAACAAAAAAGCAATCGGATGGCAGAGGTGGAGGGAAAATGACGGAGAAGCACTACTAATGGCGAGACGTGATATATAGCTTGGGATAATTGCTCCTGTATTGAGCAGGATGTGTTACAATGGTTTTTATCTGAAGTTCCGTTCACAATGCCTATTAATGTATTTTGTATTTTACATATACTCTAAAAAATAGGAGATATTCTGAAATAACAGTTGATTACAGAATTACAAAGAGGTATCGAGTGATGGTAATGGATGAATAAAGAAAGATGAAGGACGAGGTGTAACATGACAATCAGCTGAACATGCTGGCTGTGTATAGACTCAACGGCAACAACCAAGAGAGACGACTGGGGTGTGTTGTCAAACATGAACGTTTGCCATGACTTGATCAATAATGGGTCATGCCCATAGGTGTCAAACATTCGTTTATACGGCGTGGCATGGTCAAAATTAACCTCCCATACATTATTGGAAGGAGTTTTGTCCAGCGTCCTTCTTTTGCAGCATCTGGTCCCGTGTGGTTAGCGTAGCGGGTGGCCTTTGGCGTTGACCACTCGTCGTCCGATCATGTCCCAGCTGTGCTCCATGAAGCAGGGTTAGGATTCAGTAGAACGTGGCACGGACGTTATCAGTAGTACTGTCCAGTGATTCGTTCATGTCAAATATTCAGAAGCGTGATCCCGCCCCATTTCATTACAGATCCACATCCAAATCTGTCACGTCACTTCACCAGAATGAATCTGGACTCATCTGAAAACATCACACGAGACCATCAGTGATTACCCCAGCTTCACCATTGTCTGGCTAGAATGTGTCGATGTGTGGCACCGGGTCATTGAACTGGTGTCGGCCCGGGAGCGCCAAATTAGATAGGAAAACCCCCGTGGCGTTCCCGGGACCAGGGAAGGCTCAGACACGGTTCATTGACTGGGGATTTGGCGCCCCCGGTACCAGGGAAGGCTCAGACACGGTTCATTGACTGGGGATTTGGCGCCCCCGGGACCAGGGAAGGCTCAGACACGGTGCATTGACTGGGGATTTGGCGCCCCCGGTACCAGGGAAGGCTCAGACACGGTTCATTGACTGGGGATTTGGCGCCCCCGGGACCAGGGAAGGCTCAGACACGGTGCATTGACTGGGGATTTGGCGCCCCCGGGACCAGGGAAGGCTCAGACACGGTTCATTGACTGGGGATTTGGCACTCCCGGGACCAGGGAAGGCTCAGACACGGTGCATTGACTGGGGATTTGGCGCCCCCGGGACCAGGGAAGGCTCAGACACGGTGCATTGACTGGGGATTTGGCACTCCCGGTACCAGGGAAGGCTCAGACACGGTGCATTGACTGGGGATTTGGCGCCCCCGGGACCAGGGAAGGCTCAGACACGGTGCATTGACTGGGGATTTGGCGCCCCCGGGACCAGGGAAGGCTCAGACACGGTGCATTGACTGGGGATTTGGCACTCCCGGTACCAGGGAAGGCTCAGACACGGTGCATTGACTGGGGATTTGGCGCTCCCGGGACCAGGGAAGGCTCAGACACGGTGCATTGACTGGGGATTTGGCGCCCCCGGGACCAGGGAAGGCTCAGACACGGTGCATTGACTGGGGATTTGGCGCCCCCGGGACCAGGGAAGGCTCAGACACGGTGCATTGACTGCGGATTTGGCACTCCCGGTACCAGGGAAGGCTCAGACACGGTGCATTGACTGGGGATTTGGCGCTCCCGGGACCAGGGAAGGCTCAGACACGGTGCATTGACTGGGGATTTGGCGCTCCCGGGACCAGGCAAATAACACGAGAGCAAAGGAGTACCGCTCATCAATTTCATTACCGTATTTGTGCATTACATTGAATGACTGTTAAAATGTACCTATTCATATTAATGTTCAGTCCCAGTTAAAAACTCCATGTGTTGTGGACATGGTCATAACGTGTGTGACTGCCATTGTTTAGAGTTATGAGATTGTCGTCTTCAACCCATTTCTCTACGATTTTGCCATAAAACGGTACGCAATCACGTTCACCGCACTGACTGACGGGTAATCCGTCCATTTGGCGCTCCCGGTACCAACAGCAGAGTCCCTCGATTTATGAGATCGGGACTAAATTAATAAGAATCTGTTGGCTTCCCTTGTTAGTTTCCCCCCTTTGTTATCTCATTATTTTGTTGTCCTTACATGTACAAACATATGCTCTCTGCCTCATGGCATCCATTTACCTGATGAAGGAGTAAGCATATACTCCGAAACGTTGTCATACTCATAATAAAGAAGTTGACATCCATATATTCTCTTCCTCACGTGTATCACTTCTAAATGCCTGTCCAAGCCCTGATAACATTTCTTCTGTTCCCCCAGGGCCAGTGGTGGCCGGCGTCGTGGGGACGAAGATGCCCAGATACTGCCTGTTCGGGGACACCGTCAACACAGCGTCCAGAATGGAATCAACCAGTTTGCGTAAGTACATGAGTGGGTGAATTTAGTTGTGACATTATTTCAGTAATTTCATGGCGAGCTTGCCTAGGAAGAAACGATTAAAGTGTTTTACTGTGTTACAATACCTCTCAACGTAAAGATCTAAGGACACCTCCGCACGAGGTGGCGTCGGCGGAACTATAATCAGTTTTCGACTTGTTTAGGCTTGATAATACCTTACGAAGAAGAAGTGGAACGATTACAATTTGCAGAACTCTAGGTAACTTATAGACCAATTGAGTTTTTACTCTAGGGTTTCTATTTTAATTGGGTTTTTACATTTTTCTTTGGGTAACCAATATTTTTTCACTCATCTATTACCATTGCATAGATTGATGCTCATGATTTCAATCACTGGATTGTCTGGTCCAGATTCGATTATTTACACACCGCCGTCATAAAAAACAACGTTAACGTTAAACTCTATTACATACACATAACTTTAATAATATGAGACAGCCAATTTGAAAAAAAAGAAATCCAATCACACTGGCCAGAAATATCTACTTTCCCCCACTGTACGGTTATTGGAGTGAGACAACTGACGTTTAGTCCGCAACGGAAGTTTTTGTTCAAGCATTGGATATTTTTTATCGACTGTGTGGCCATGGTGATATAGCAAGGCATTTGAGACGAAACGACAGTGCAGATTGTCGTTCTGTGTATGATGCTAATTTACAGAACATATTCAAATCTAAGATATGGACAGATATCTATGAACATTACTTTGAAGTTGGTAATTTGTATACTTATAGGCAGGAAGTTCACGATCAACACGTAAACATTGAATGGTCAGTTACGGTCCGAAGTGATCGACAGGGCATGTTGGCATCAAAGCTGTGCCGCGATTTCTTGTCGTCTAGTTCTCCTACATGCTAGTGCGTTTCGACAAATAAATGCTGCTTTTTTTTAAATAGAAAATGACTAAGAGTCACGTGTGATTGATCACACAACCTGACCATGTGAATGAAATGCTTTCACTGTTTCACGTTTTGTCGTAAAAGGAGATTTCAAAGTGTGGCCACGACATGTGGTCATGTTGTAAACAAATTGTGTCAAGGTCGGTTTTACATATGGTACCTCGGCCCCAGTATCTGTCGATGATCCACCGATACAAACATAACGTCTGGAAAAAATCAACTTAACTTCTAAACTGATGACATTGAAACTGTGATAATGGTGCTTTGATTGGTTTGCTAAAAGAGTATTTTCCGTGAGTCTCACGTCCATGGTACTTGCTGTGAGTGTGCAAGACAACTGATAACCAATTGTGTAAGTATATATATCATCGAATACACATTATAAATCTCCTCAGAAAATGAAATATATCATCTTAACAGGGCATGTTCGTATTTCCAGCATTCTGCCATGGATAAAAGATCAAATTAATATAAGATTTACAAATTGTTGATGTAGACTATACTTTCGATTATCTTATGACAATTTATTTGATATGTTATCTGAAATGTGAGCAATGAGTAAAGACTTTATCTTTAAATGATGGTACGATCTGCAATTTTTTTTATTTTAGACGGTCGGTGTTTTCCCGGCCGCTGTGAAATTGTCGTCTGGGCAGGTGCGCGTGGTTCGACTTCGGGACTTGTGACGTGGATGACGTCACGTTAAACAGCTGTCCTATTTTCGTGGTCGTATAATGGACACGTGGTTTCAATTTCAACATATTATAATATTCTCTTTGGCTGAACTGATCTGAAGTAGAACGTTGATCTAGTACATCACGATTCGGAATATTTCCACGGCGAACGACGAGTAAATGAGACCGTTTATCTCTTGACTAACACCGTTAGAATTTAGCCAAGTTTTGAAAAATATTTTGTTATATGTTAACACAGAAATCTATACTTTTCAATCTGTTTCAAGGTGCGATAAGACACTAATATACATATAATATCGAGTACGGGAATGAAATGAATCGAATGGTTCAATTAATAGCATAAAAAATAACTAAACACAATAAAGTGATTTTGTTTCGATGTTTTAAATAGATCTAGTATTCATTATTTGTTTTTGTACCCTGCGTTATTCATATTATCAAATAGTTCGACAATTGAAATGTTATTCACATACTTATTTAGTCATATTTAATTCATTTTGTATCATCTATTCTAAATTAGAATTTATTAAAAAAAATATATTGTCTGAGATCAAATGCATGTTTGTGTTTCTTAAGATTGGTGTTATTTTCATAGTCTTAATAATATATACAATCATATGACAGTTCGCTCTGCCTTAGCTAGTCCCAACTAGGTTTATCGATTTTGCTTGTTTTAGTTTCATAGTTCAATGCTAAAAAACTGGTTAATATTCCGCTTTTCCTTTTACATAAGATACCATTATCAAGGATCAGTCTATTTCAAACTTTCCTTTTGTAGAATTGGATGAATTCTGAAACGTTACTTGAAATATGCCATGCTTCAAACGTACATTTATATACCAAGGCGTAAAAATAACTTTAAGGTCGGATTTTTATTAACCAAATTTTGAAAGAAAATGTTGTATTTATGGAAAGCCATACACAAATATGTTGACCAAAGGTCTTAGTCAGTCAGCCTAGTGCGAAATACAAGGGGAGACGACGATGTATGTTTTATAGTGGTCACAGTGAAAACAAATGTTCAGATGTTTAAGCACATGAACAGTTTATACATTGGACACTTAAGTCAATGTGTTTCATATTTTTGTCTTTTTCTCTTTCATTTCATCTAGATATTACTTATAATCGTACTGTAAAAACAATAATATTTCCTTCTTTCCCCTACGAAAGTTATCGTTCCTTGTATTAAATATAGCCCACTCAACACTTCTTGAGCTTCCCAATTCAAGTATTAAATGTGTCATATACCAAAAATGCATGAAACGATTTGGAAAATATCTGTCGACGCCGTGTTTGCTGTACACGTGCTTTGTAAATCCTGACCTTGACCGAAGTCTGCACGACAGTTTACGAACCGGAAGTCGATTTCGTTACGCGATTTTGATTGGACTGTGCATAGACTCGTTAGTCCAAACAAAATAGAACTCCATAAATGCGGCCTTGTTCGGCAAGGTCGGGAACTGGACTTTTTAAGTCAGTTAACTTCCTTGCCTCGGCATGAAGAGAGGAAGTGAAGTGCGTTAAGTTAATTAATGTCTGCTTTTCAGCAGAAACTTAGTATTTCACTGCGGGAAACATAGTAGCCCCTGGCTGTTCTGCTGCTGCTGCTGCTGCTGCTGCTGCTGCTTGTTGGTAACTCACGTCGCCAAATGTACCTCATTCGAATATCACAATCACCTCTATCGATTTTGTCTTAACGCTTTAAATAGCAGTGCATACACCTTTTGCATTTGCTGAATTTAGATACCGTTGGAAAGACAATCAACTTTAGTTAAATGTTATTCAATTTTGTATCACTGTGTGTAGACCAATATTTTTTCACTCATCTATTCCCATTGCATAGATTGATGCTCATGATTTCAATCACTGGATTGCCTGGTCCAGACTCGATTATTCACAGACCGCCGTCATATAGCTGGAATATTGCTGAGTGCGGCGTAAAACAACACACCAACCAATCATGGAGTTAGGGCCAAACTGTATGAACGTGTTGCGACTCATGACTAGAGCGAGGGCCAAACTGTATGAACGTGTTGCGACTCATGACTAGAGCGAGGGCCAAACTGTATGAACGTGTTGCGACTCATGGCTAGAGCGAGGGCCAAACTGTATGAACGTGTTGCGACTCATGACTAGAGCGAGGGCCAAACTGTATGAACGTCTTGCGACTCATGACTAGAGCGAGGGCCAAACTGTATGAACGTCTTGCGACTCATGACTAGAGCGAGGGCCAAACTGTATGAACGTCTTGCGACTCATGGCTAGAGCGAGGGCCAAACTGTATGAACGTCTTGCGACTCATGACTAGAGCGAGGGCCAAACTGTATGAACGTCTTGCGACTCATGACTAGAGCGAGGGCCAAACTGTATGAACGTCTTGCGACTCATGGCTAGAGCGAGGGCAAAACTGTATGAACGTCTTGCGACTCATGGCTAGAGCGAGGGCCAAACTGTATGAACGTCTTGCGACTCATGACTAGAGCGAGGGCCAAACTGTATGAACGTCTTGCGACTCATGACTAGAGCGAGGGCCAAACTGTATGAACGTCTTGCGACTCATGACTAGAGCGAGGGCCAAACTGTATGAACGTCTTGCGACTCATGACTAGAGCGAGGGCCAAACTGTATGAACGTCTTGCGACTCTTGACTAGAACGAGGGCCAAACTGTATGAACGTCTTGCGACTCATGACTAGAGCGAGGGCCAAACTGTATGAACGTCTTGCGACTCATGGCTAGAGCGAGGGCCAAACTGTATGAACGTCTTGCGACTCATGACTAGAGCGAGGGCCAAACTGTATGAACGTCTTGCGACTCATGACTAGAGCGAGGGCCAAACTGTATGAACGTCTTGCGACTCATGACTAGAGCGAGGGCCAAACTGTATGAACGTCTTGCGACTCATGACTAGAGCGAGGGCCAAACTGTATGAACGTCTTGCGACTCATGACTAGAGCGAGGGCCAAACTGTATGAACGTCTTGCGACTCATGACTAGAGCGAGGGCCAAACTGTATGAACGTCTTGCGACTCATGACTAGAGCGAGGGCCAAACTGTATGAACGTCTTGCGACTCATGGCTAGAGCGAGGGCCAAACTGTATGAACGTCTTGCCACTCATGGCTAGAGCGAAGGGCAAACTGTATGAACGTCTTGCGACTCATGGCTAGAGCGAGGGCCAAACTGTATGAACGTCTTGCGACTCATGGCTAGAGCGAGGGCCAAACTGTATGAACGACTTGCGACTCATGGCTAGAGCGAGGGCCAAACTGTATGAACGTCTTGCGACTCATGACTAGAGCGAGGGCCAAACTGTATGAACGTCTTGCGACTCATGACTAGAGCGAGGGCCAAACTGTATGAACGTCT